GTCCTTTGCACTGTTAGCACGCCCTCCCCCAGCTTCACCAATTCTATTCAGAAGACCTGCTAGATACTTTCCTTGCCTCTCTGCAACCTTGTCTCCCCCAACACCACACAACTAAAAACTTGAGAAACAAAACTTATAAAAGAAAATTTGACTCCTATATACAAAATGACATATGCGAGGACATAGGAAATTAGTTTTCTATGGATTCAGCCGCTGATGCAAGGGCTTCTGAATCTGCTGAAATTGTATAAAACTTACCTGAGCAAGAGCTGGAAGTACTGGTTTGCCAGTACTTTCTAGATAGCCACTGCAATCACCAATCGAGAACACATCTTCTGCTGAAGGAACTCTTAACCACTCATCCACACCAATCCTGTAAAGGAAAGCATCCGAGAAGGATGTATAACTTTGGTTAAGCAGTTCAATGACACTGAAGCCAGATGTGATCACGGTGCATGATGGTTGAATCAAAAATTCAAATACATTAGACTTAAAAGTGCATTACATGAAAAGAACAAAAAAGCATCAATCCAAACTCCTGAAAAGATGGAGATTTTCCTCAAAGAATTATTGATCTTAAAAGTTTTCTCTCCATGTGTTAACATCTTAACAGACCACCGAAAATATGAAAGCTGACCTGCCACCCGGAGCTTTTGGAAGTTCAAGAGACTTCACGAAAGGTGATGGACCAACACCTGTGGACCATACTAAGAGCCCATATGGAACCTCTGTGCCATCATCAAGAATTATCTTTTCAGGCTCAACACCTTTCACAATTCCACGAACAAGACGAACTCCTGACTGAGAGAAACTATGAAATTAGATTCAAAAGATCCAATCTAAAATGGGTAGGAAACATTCACCAACATGCAAAAATATTTATTGAAACAACGTTATTTGCTGATATACGACACCACACAGAATTTTATGCACAGAGAGAGAGAGAGAGAAAAAAAGCTTATCGCACACAGAGAGAGACTTGAGAGAAAGAAAACAACTAACCATAAAGAATAAAACTAAACTGACAGCTATATATCTTCCTGCCATTCTTTCCTAACCATTACAGTGTTTTCCACATCAATTTCCGGCCCTTAAGCTCACTTGTTCTCAAGGGAAAAATCTGGGAACTTCTAAGTGAACCACGGCGCATCTTCCCAAGTGGGAGGTAAACCATCTGACAACTTAATGAGTAATTGTACCAGTGGCTGATTGTGGTGCTTAATGAGTCTCCTATAAATTATAGCAATAGGTTGGCGCACTGGACACTCTGATATAATAGGCATTTCTTGCAAAGGCACTGATTCTGGAGCACACTTCGGCTGTGAGACATGGGAAACAGGATGACATTGGCTTCCAGCTGTTAGTTGTAGCTTGTAGGCAAGAGCTCCCAATTTGGTTAGAACTAAAGGACCATTGTAAATGGAAGCCAGCTTCGGATGGGAGCAAACCGCAATCATTAGTTGACGGTCTGGCTGAAGCTTGACGAGGTTTATCACCTTGTTGTTTCATCCGTTGCTGTGCTTAAGTGAAACTTGAAAATTTTTAGCAAGAGTTCGTTCTTGTAAAAACTTATCAGACTTGGAATTTGGGGATCACCTTGAATGTACGGTGTGTGAATGAGTGGTGGATACCGAAACAAAGCCTTGAGAGTGTTGTTTTAATATATGTATGAAAATTGGTATTATGCTAAAATTTGGCTAAGGTAAGCCATTGAGACTAGGGTTGAAGGTTGCTCATGGCACATGCACCGCAAATAGTTTTCAAGACATCTATTGACGACTTCTGTCTCGCTGTCAATTTATGTGTGGTAGACATTGGATGTATCAAGCTTCATGCCTTGCAATTTGAATAGTTCATGCCAAAACAAACTGATGAAAATAGAATCGTGGTCACTTACTATTGTTTCGGGCAAGCCGTGCAGTTTGAGAACAAAATCCATAAATTGTTTGGTCAATGTTTGTGCGGGAAAAGGATGTGCAAGTGCTATGAAGTGAACAAACTTAGTTAGGCGATCAACAATTTTCCAAATTGAATCTTTGCCATTAGACTGAGGGAGGTAGTCAATAAAGTCCATAGAGATTGTAGACCAAGGTGTTTGTGGGATTGGAAAAGACTGTAACAGCCTATGATTCGCTGTTACACTAGCCTTGCAGCTTAGCATATATCATAATTCCTGAAGAAGTCGTGGATGTCTAGTGCTAAAAAACCAGAGAGAGTTGTTTAAGGTGGCTTGAACTCCAGAGTGTCCAGCAATAAAGTTAGGATGGAACTCTTTGATTACATGTTGTCGTAGGTCTTGATCTGCTCTC